CGATGATCATCCGTTTGAAGTCGCATTCGACCAAGCGCACCAAATCTGTTCAGAGAGATTTTCATATCCAGTGTGGCTATGGAAGCTCAAACGCTGGTTAAATGTGGGAAGCGAACGTCTACTTCGGGATTACATGGTGGTAATCAATCAGTATCTGATGGAAACGATATCGAGTGCGATGAACCGACGTAGTACTCACGAAGGCGACAACCAACCGGTGAATAAAGACATCGTGTCGATAATACTCGACTCCATGGAGAAGAGTGGACAGACAATCACTCCTTCTGACATTCGTGACATTGCCTTCGCTGGAATGATTGCCGGTCGGGACACTACTGCAGATGCTCTAAGCTGGTTGATGCACGAGCTTCATCACCATCCACGTGTACTAGAAAACCTGCGCCAAGAACTTACCACAAAACTGCCGAAATTTGGGGATTCCGAGAGCTACGTGCCGTCTTTGGACGAAGTTCAGGACCTTCCGTACTTGGAGGCAACGATTCGGGAGGTTTTGCGCTTGGTTCCTCCTGTTCCAACCATCCCGTATCATTGCTATCGTGATACGGTTTTTCCTGATGGTACATTCATTCCCGCAGATTCTGCGGTGTTGCTGTCTACCTACTCCACCGCTCGACTTGGTTCAGTTTGGGGACCTGATGCCTCATCTTTCGTGCCTGAACGATTTCTTGACGCGAATTCTGGAGAGTTACTGAAAATGTCAACGACAGAATTTGTAGCATTTAGTGCTGGGTCGCGAGTGTGTGTCGGTCGCAACTTAGCCATGTTGGAGTTGAAGCTGGTGGTGTCGTGTCTGGTGAGTTACTTTCGGCTGGAAGAAGTGAGCGGCCAGGACGTTACATACGGAAGTGGCGTAACTATCAGGATGAAGAACCCGCTCATGATGAAGGTGGAAAAAGTTTCCAGTAGTGGCTGCTGATAAAAAAAAATACTCAGCACGAAGTTGTGAAATTTCGTCTTTTTAACAGACAACAAGTCTGTGCGTTAAAAAAAAGATTGCTCATTGTATTCGCTTTTAGAAATTGTAACAAGGATACCGTTGAAAAAAATAAATAAATGCTTCTTGCAGTCCTATGATATGTAGAGTTGGCGCGTGTTTTTAAAACATCTAGTAATAAGAAGCCGACTTATTACTATATGTACTTGTATTATTTTTTTCAGCGATGAACACATTAAAATAAGCGTAGTAGGTTTGGAACTGCTTGTGTTCCTCTGTTTGTAGAGCATCCGAGGCTGCACTTTCCTCGTTTTATATTTGATAATCAGCTACTGGACTACAACAGTATGCGAAGTCAAAATAAGGATTGGTGTGCTTCGGTGCATGAATCCAGCGTTGAAGATGAGATCTACCGAGAGCAGACACATCCACCACCAGGTTAGTTTTAAACCTGTTAAGCTTACACAGTGTTGAGTCCGAAGTGTCTAACACCATTTATCAGTAATAGTAAAGCAGTGTTTGGGAGAAAAAAAGCTAGGGGGACTGCAACCTAATGTATTATGGGCTTAACAATGATTTTGTTTTGCTGCTTAAGTACCAGAAGCTATCACAAGAGAGTCAACACTGCATTCCCTTTCCAAGAACTAACTGCAGCTTGGAGCGAGTAGCAGTGTAGATCGCTCGAGCTAACATGTAAAA